TTTACTCACTAACACACTTCTTTTTACAGAACTGAATCCTTTTCCTGCTCTTTGCTTATTTTTATGCACCAGTAACTGTTTGAATTTCTAAAATCGTTGTTTTTCTGGTCAGCCTTGGCCTGTGCTGACAGCTCTTCCCAGTGAGCCTGGGTGATGCAAATCTGCAACCCGAGTGTTAAGTTTTTAATAGAAGCATTTCTACTCAATGCCAATAAAATGTTTCAAGCACCTGTAATTAAACAGTCTGGAGACAGATCTGCTCGTTAGAACATTCAAAAAAAATTCTGACAGTCTTTCAAAGAGATGAAAAAAAGGGGACAATTGTTTGATGTTAAGTCTTTACTGTAAGAAAAATGAAATTCTCTCCTTCTCCAACAGGCACCAGGAAATTGGTGGTGACTGGGGACTCAAGGAGAGCCAAGTCTGCTGCTCACATTTAGCTTTGGTTGATTTGAGGGGTGGTCTGCAGGGTTTCTTTATTTCTCTAAGATACTCCAACTTTTAAACAAAAGTTTCTGGAAGTCTCCATGGGATTCCTTCTGCTTTGGTATTTTGTCTGGGTGTCAGTAGGTGTGATCACATATGAGCCATCTGCCTCATCAGAAATCTATAAGCAGCAAATGGCTTTTCAAGCAGCTCAAAATTGGAATAGAAGGATGTGAACAAGCAGTTATTAAAACAAGATGTTAATATGAGAAGAGCCAATTTATTTTTATTAAAAATGCAATTTTAATCCAAGAATTCTCTGGAGTCAGTTTGATGGGTGAGGCCTGGTGAGCAATTCCCACACTCCAGCAGGTGTGGAGGGGCTTGGCAAGGACCTGGTGCTGCCTGGTGGCTTCCCAAGGTTTCTTTGGAGGATGAGATCTTTGGGATGGGGTGGGAACACATGGGGAACAGGTCCTGTGTGGCCCAGGACAGGTCTGTCCTCTGTATTATGGCAATGTGCCAAATCACTGGCCAGCAGTGCCCTGCTCCCTCTGAGGAGAGAGGGACTTGAAGATTTTTGTCAAATCACCCAGGAATTATCGATGTTGAGTCCTTTTAGGCACTTTTAAAACGAAATTTCTTGATCCAGGAGCTGCTCAGGCTGCAGGGCAATGGGTCCAGCTTTGGACCCTGACCCCAAAATCATTTCTTAGAGCTCTCAGCCTGACTGCAGGCTGGCTGGGAGTCCACAGATGGAGGCTGCAAAAGCCCAGGAAAGGAGCCCCAGTGACACAGACTGTCACATCAAGGGGCTGCAGCAGCTGGGCTGGGCCATTCTCTGCTGCTTTCTGACACCTCCAGCCTCCATGAGCACAACTCTGATGGCTCAGCTCTCTTCAAGGCATCTTTAAAGCAAAATGCTGTCACCAAAGAGCCTTTGCAGGCTCCCAGAGCAGCTCCTCCCTGCAAACAGAGCACAGACACCAGAGCTGGCAGCGAGCATCCAGGTTTGTGAGCTGGGATGAACAAAATCTTCCCCTAATTCACCATTGGCAAGCTCTGTGTGCAGTGAGAAGGCAAAGAAAAGTTCCCCAAGTGCCCTGTGGGGCAAAGGCAGGCACAGGCTGTGACTCTGTGACTCCAAACCATTGCCATTAACAAACAGTTTAAGCTTTTTTTTTTTTTTTTTTTTAATTTAACTGTACTGCTGGAGAACTTTGCTCCTTCATCTTAACCCCTTCGAGCCCAGCTTGGTCCCCAGCACCCAGCAGGGCTGAGGGAACTCCTGTGAGCTGCTGGACAAAGCTCAGAACAGAATTGCAGCAATTCTGCACACAAAGAATTCGGGCAGGCTTGTAAATCAGGGCTGGAGGAATAAAAACACAGTGACCCACTGAAGCTGCCTTATTTCTGCCCTGCAAACACAGACTAAAATCATCCTAACTCCAGCTCATCCCAAAGCTCCTGCTGCACCCTCAAAAGGGAGCTCTAAATACCCAAATTAAGCCTTCAAGTTCACATTAATTTCTGTGCTAATTGGCTGGGGACCCACAAACACGAAGGATGATTTTACTCCTGAGCTGATTTCCAGTAACAAAACCACGCTAAATAAATTCACTGCTTGTTTCTGCAGAGACCTTTTGATGAAAAAAATTTCTGCATTTTTTTTTTTCCACAAAGAAAATTTCAAACCTGAGGAGGTCTGAACCCCAGGGTGACACTGGCAAGGACTGACTGCTTGTCAATACCAACAAAACTTCCAGATTTTCCCCAGCCAGCCTGAAGAGTTGCATGTTCCTTCCTCCTGCTGCCAGTTCAATGGCTCCTGATGGCAAGGGAGCAAATTATGGCTCTATTTGAGCTACAGCTTTTATAATTAACTCTGCAGATTGATTTCTGCAGAAATCATTCTTTAACCAGGAATTCCCTACTCCCAGAATGGCCTCTACTCAGATAAACTATTTAAGAGGTTACCTGGGACTCAAGTGCATTGAATTTCGGTTTCATCTTTCAAGCAAGCACAGCAATACTTTGAATTACATTTCATACATTGTATTTCTGTGTGCTACTGGTATCTTGAAGTTCCTGACACTATTGTAATTACTGATTGACATGACTCATTCTAAATCCAGCATCTTCCTGGAAAAATATCACCTGAGCCCAAAAAAAAACCCCTCCAAAAACACACAGGGCATTTAATGTTGGGTTTAACCTGGATCTTATGCCTAATTCACACATTTGTTCAGCACCCAAAAGGATTTGAGAAGCAGCTGTGAACCTCATCAGGAATAAACTGCAAAATAAATAGGTAATTGTCTAAAAAAAGGAAATAAAGTCTCACTTTGCTGTTCTTGATATTGAGAATCTTTTAGATTGTGGGAATACCCAAGGTTTGGGGACAAGCTGAGGAGGAGGAGGAGGAGGAGGATGGAGAGCTGTGCTGCTTGCTCTGGCACAAGACAAGCTATTGTTACCAGAAAACACAGATGCCATTTGTAAAACAGCTTAGACAAGTGGCCTTAATTATCTCTCAGGATTCACAACATGTTTAAATACTCTTAGAGCATTAAAGAATCAACCCAAGAGTATGTCATGTAATATAAAAGCACTCTTTCAGCTGCTCTGAACATCCACAGTGTCATTCACTAATCTCTTGGTGACGACCCAGAAATGAAGGCAAGACTCTGAACTGAAGGCTCTGAAGTTCAGAGATGTGACCTTTGCAAAGCCAAAATCCATCAGTTCAAGCCCTCGTGCATTTACAGACACTCAGAGCTTCCAGGGTGTGCTCAATGTATTGTCCATAATCCCTGAAGTCCAAGGTTAACAGCTGCTCTGGAGGAGATGTGGCCACACTGGTGACTGCAGCTGGGCCATCCTCTCATGCTGACTACCACGGTGCTTATTTTATCCAGGAGTAGATTTATTTAAATACACACTTAGTTGTTGCAAAAGCAAAGATAGAAGAGTCTGAAATACAACACAATTTCAGCGATGGGGAGAGGAAAACACCCCCACAGACTTGGACAAGCACCAGAAACATTTCGATTCAAAGAGAACCTAACTTTCTTCAGATGATTATTTTCAAAAGCAGCAGCATTTGTTTGGAACACCCTGTGTTAGACACCCATATTCTGGGAGATAACTGAAAAAAAAAAAACCAAAAAACAAAAAACAAACTTACTTCAGCCTAGCTGGCTCCTTCAGGAAAGAGCAAGCCCTCATATATCAGGGAAGATGGATTTCTAAAAGCTTTTTCTTCCACATGTTTTGTTCCAGCTGCAAAATTTGACCTTTGTTTTCAGCAGCCATGGCCAGGGTGGGGGCAGAGAATGCTCAGGAGTTGGGAGAGCAGAGAGACACCCTGGGATGACCAAAGGTCTCCTTTAGGATTTCATGCTTTATTCTCCTCACCTGTTTAACAGCTCAGTCACCTGCAGGTCATACAAAAGGTAAAAAAATCCTGCTCCTCACACTGCCTTCCCCTCCTGCTGGGCTGCCTACAGGTGAACACCTCTCCTCCTTTTGACTGGTTTTTAAAAAAAAAAAAAAAGACCAATACATATGGGAAAAGCTGGAGAAATTCCAAGTAATCCTGAGACAGCACACTTTATTTTTATAAAATGCCATTTTGCCTGTTTTTCTGAGTACCTATTTTCTGCTAGTTCCTCCTTACCAACAACAGCTTATTTGGATGTTTTAGAGCTGAATTTCCTGTTGCTTCAAAAAATGTAAATTACAAGAATCAACAGCACCCTGCAGTCTTCAGGGGTTCATCCAAGTATCTAGTTGTTGACATTTAAAACACCAGGCTGTCAAAAAGGAAGAGGATAGTCTAGTGCTTATATAAACTTAATTTCCTTGTTTCCATTAAAAAGTTATTAATTAAAAGGTAGTCTCAGCCAGGCTCACACTGTTCACACACAGCCAACTTCCTCTCATCCTACTCCATTGGGAAGATTATTTGGCATATTTATATTCTACTCAGGCAAAAATAGTATTTTATAATTCATCTTACAGCATGGCCAGGAGCAGTGCTAGCACCTTCACAAGGCACCTCCCTGCAGCACAGGAAACCTCACATTCACCAACTGCAGGTTCTGGAATGTCCTGACAAATGGAATTGGAGCTGTGACACAAAAATGACCCTTTCACATCACTGATTCCATGGATTTTAAAGCTCCTAAGTCTCGATGCCCATGCAGCATTTCATCCTTGATGTGTACTGAGGGAAAAAAAATCAAATTCTGCAGCAAATCACAGGCAAC